TTCTAAGCCGACCTGTGACAATGAGACTGTCACAGGTCGGCTCAGTAGATCGGGAGGGGGGAGAACACATACCGGGTTCCCTCCCCTCTCGATCCTGTCACGGCTCTCTGCCGTGACAGGGGGAGGGGCTGGATTCCCCTCTCCCCGCTCCGATCTGCCAGCGCTGACTGGCGGAACGGACGGGGGAGGGGGCGGGTACAGCTGGCTCTGCCTCTAGATAGGCAGAGCCAGCTGTCACTCACGCAGCTGGGCGGATCCCGTCATCTAAGTCGGGATCCGCTCCAGGTGCGGCGTCTCAGTATACCGCGAGCTGTAGCTCGCGGTATACTGAGCTTAGGGTAACGGGAGGACGCTAGTTTGTGTCCTCCCGTTACCCCAAGGAGAACTATGGGGAAAAACACTGACCCCATAGTTCTCCTTTAAAAGCAAGTTGGCCATCATCACAGCTCCCACTTTTTACTCATAGAAAGTTTCCTTTAACGCTTATGGGGTTTGCATTAAAAACACGTGGAAGGATTTTAAAAATCAGGACCTGTCTGTGACCACTTCTCCGTCTAAGCAAATCACAACAGATCAGGTCAAGAGAAAAAGATAAATGGCACAGACCTGCAGACACATTCACAGGCTGCATTCAGAAATCTACATCCAGCTCTGTCAAGAAGAACTATAAAAAAATGTGTTAGCTTTGATCTTTAGAGAAGAACTACAGGAACGATTGTTATTAACCCTTGCAGTGGGGCTACCCCCGCATTGCAAGGGTTAACTGCTCCTTTGTGCCTAGGTGCTAAAATAACAAAGCTATGCTCACCCAAAGCTCCTCTGTGGCCAGCTGTGACTGCGTCTCATCTTCCACTGCAGCAATGGTATGTCCCTCGGCGTCCTCACGTCTATACACTGAGGGGAATTGATCAGAACTGGAGCAAACAGAATCTGGAGCAGTTGCCCATGGCAACCAATCAGCATATCTCTTCAGTTTTGCTCAGGTGAGATTTGAAAATAAAAGATAGAAGCTGATTGATTGCAGTGCAAATCTGCTCCAGATTTTGATAGATTCCCCCCACAGCATATAGAATGTGACGATTTATGAAGCCTCAGACCACTGAGGCGGAAGGGAGAGAGAAGAAGCCGGCTCAGAGCATCAGGTGAGTATAGCTTTTTTTTTCTAACCTAGACAAAAACGAGCAGCTAACCCTTGCAGTGCTGGGGGTAGTCCCACCGCAAGGGTAGTTCCACCACAAGGGTAGTCCCACCGCAAGGGTTAATAAAAAATGTTTCCTCGCGTTCTTCTACAAAACAAAGATGATTGTTCTATATAAACCTATTTTAGTGAGCAATATATGATATAGAAATCATACACGAATATGTTCATACAGTATCCAACATTTGTTCCTGGGGGTGTCAGAGGGCAGAAGTGGCCTGTAGAGAGGATGCTCGCTCTCTGTGTGGAAGCAGGGGTCTCTCTGCAGAGGTCTGACACTCCCCTACTGAGTTAAGTTGGTCTTACAAATGTCAGCAGGTTCATCAAGAACTTCACACAGTGGCTGCCCCTGTCACCACCCTTCCATCTGACATTCCTCGATCACAAGATTGATGGGGCTGGATGGAAAATCTTCGAGCAAACAGTGCATGCAGCCAATAAGACAACTGCTGTCAGAATACAACAGATACAGCGAGAGTTATAGAAACTTAGGGATGATGGAAGAATCTGTTATATTGCTTCCGGCCGGAAAAAATAATAATTACAGTGTACAGGCGGCTTTAGAACGATAGCTCTGCAATCAGCAAAACTGATGATTATCTCTGACTTAGCAGGGGGGTGTCAGAACTCTGCATAGAGACCGCTGCTTCCACACAGAGAGCAAGCATCAGGCTTTTCTACTCAGGCTGTGGCTGCTTACTAAAGAAAACAAACTTTTGTGTTTTGATGCCATTAAAATGTATTTCAAATGTACTGAAAGTTCTGTTAGGTTTTCACTGCCAACATGTTTGATGGTATAGGTTTTCTTACCTTGGATGTGTGTGTGTGTGTACATATATATATATTATCTACCTCTCTATCTATCTATCTATCTATCTACCTCTCTTATCTATTCTCTC